TTTAGACTGAAGGCAGGTGATATGGGTTTAAATAGATTTTACTTTTGCAATTCAATTAAAATCTTGTTTTCATCACTGTAAGATTGCCAGTAACATATTGGATAGTCCACATCCCTTATCTGTGTTAGCTACTTTCCAAAGTGAAAGGGATGGAAAAGATATTACTCTAGAGGTGAGGAATTAATCCTGTGTTATCTGCATTTTGGGACTGTTTTATATTGTATATCAGCAGTGTGTGTTTTTATATTAATTGTTTTTATCTTTAAAAAACATCAACCATGAAACGCTAATAAGTTTGTGCTTTATTAAGCAACAGAAAATCTTTCTATACACACAGGTTTTGAACTCTTTGGGATAACTGTAGTAAAACTCAGAAACACTTGGAAAAAAAAAAAGAAAGCAAACTGTGTATCAACCTACACTCTTCCATCAAACAATGTCTATAAGAACCTTTTCCAAAGTGTCACAGGAAGATTTTATTTTAAAGAGTTTCCTTTCCAGGAACGAACCATGAGTTTCAACATAGTTTCAACATAGTTTTGTGAGATGCTTTTTGCCAGAAAACTACATTGCACACATGTTAACCTACATATTCTGTGTGTGTATGTGTTTTATCCATATTAATATCCAGAAGAGCAAAATATACACCTGCAAACAGAAAATGTCAAAAACATCTAAGAGGCAAGGATTTCTTAGGGTGACGTCTTTTATTGGGCCAACTATTTAGTGGGGATAAAGCTAGACAAGGTGTCCAATGCTCACACTTAACCTAAGGTTGATATACTTTTTTGTTTTCTTATGTTTTTCCCCCCAGGTGTTTCTAGGTTTTTTACTACTGTTTTCCCTCAGGTCTGACCTGACGAACAATGCATTCGAAAGCTTGTCTAGCTTTATCCCAACTACATGGTTGGTGCAATAAAGGCTACCACCCTAAGAAATCCTTGCCTCCGGCATAATTTGTGGGCCATCATGGCTTCCACATTGCTCTTACACTACTAAAAAAGCCATCGGAGCAGAGGAGAAGCTGCCACAGAGTGATCGCTCTACTGATCGCTCTTCTGATCACAAGAGATCGCTCTTATGATCTCTCAAACTGCATCATCAGTTTTAAGAATCGAGACATTGCCCAGACAGGAACCGGGGGATGTGAGCATTGCAAAACTGGAGCAAGTGCACAGGGTTGAACGGGATGCTGAAGTTGTCTGGTCTGTGGGAACCAAGGATGGGGTTATCACAGGTGAAACTGTAGTGCCCTGCACCTTATAGAGTCATTGACAAAAGGACACTACTCGGTCAGAAGAGGCAAGTGTTTTCCATTCACTTTGGCCTGGTGTCACCCGACAGAGGAAGCAGGAGGGAACTGGACTCGAAGCGCTCGGCAACACCCTCTGTTTTTGTTTGAAATAATGGGGATTTGAGGAACCTGAGGTGAAGCACTTGGGGGGGGG